TAATGGGGGCTAGTTGTTTGGTCTCGAGCAGGCTGAGAACTTGATTCAGGATTTGCAGGCATGGCCACAATTCGATCTGCAGGCCGATGCCTTCCTCTTGATGCTCAACACCTGTGGGATGTGCTTCCGGGGCATTGCCGGCTTCCACACTTCACCTGGGCGCTCAATCTCAGTATCATGGCCTGTGACGGCTCAAGCCCACATATCCCACATACCTTCACCTGGCACGAGCTGCAGAGATCAAAAGAACGTGTTGGCAAAGACTTAGGCGCCACACTTTCTTTTGAGCTCCGTCTGCGGCTTCCCCCGCCTGCGCCGCCCTGTGGCAAGCACAAGGACTTAGTTGAACTTGCACTAGCTGCACTGGCTCCTACATGTCTGAATCACAATTCGACAGCCCAGTGTTGACAGCTTCAATCTGAGCCAAAATTGGCCTCGTCGTCAGACTCGAGCACTTCGCTTCCTGCATGCGAAGGTCATGAATTACTGCGCTGCAGTCTGCTCCGCGAGGTGAGCGCTTGGAAACGATTTGACAGACCTTGATCCCATGTCAACCGCATAGCAGATTGGCATAATCGGATAAACAGTCCAGTGAAGCGAGACTGAGGATTTGAACTTCGTGTAAATGACTTGTGGATGGGCTGACGAAAGATCCAAGGGGCTTAGGCGACGGCAGGTTGCTTCATTTGAATGTTGTGTGGGCTGAAGGCCTGAAGGCCAAATCCACACCCACTCCAGCATGCTAGCACATCTAGCCCACCTCCCCGCGCACGCAACTGTTCTCCATCAACACTGCCTTAAACCCCGCCGACATAGCTCAGCATGCTCAGATGTGCCTTCTTCTGAGGAGGTCGCAGTGGAGCCCTGGCAGTGATTATAGTGATTGATGGTGTTTTGCAGTGTAACATGAAACTTCAACTTTCAGCTGATTTACAGCACCCTCACACGGCAGGGCTGTCATGTTTGGACAAGACTGCTTTGATGGAAGCTTCATAGCATCCTGCCTCATCAGCGGAATCCTGCTGGCTGGTACCTCCAATTTTCACTTGAGGTGGAGTGGCCTTGAATTTGCAGGTTTTGGGCCTGGGAGAATAGCGACTTGCTTATTGAACCCCCATCATTCCAAATCTCGCGAACTTGTGAGAACTGTGAATGGCAAAGTAGTTCATCGTAGGCCCAAACTTGTCAACCAAACATCCGACATCATCCGACCCAACATCTCCCACAGTCTGAGCACTGCTGTACACGGGCTCAATTGCTTGCATGGTATTCACTAGGCTGACCCACGGGTGTCCAGAGTGGCAGAGTGATTTCCCCATGTCAGTATCAATATGTTAGCCTTCAGAAAACCCCAGACATCAAGCTTGAAATGTGCTCTTCCAAAAACCTATGGAAATCAAACTCGCTCAACAGCCAGCAAAAGCAACGTGTCTCATGAGCTTGAGGTTACCCTGTGTACGGGCGAAGGCTCATGATAAAGTCACTGGCATGGAAAACGCGAGAAGCTCTGCTACTCTAAGATGCTGGCCTTCCTCCCCTGCATGGGCACCTGGAAGCGTTTCGCCAATCAATGGATTCTAAGCTTCTAAACATTTCGCGAACGCGGAGACTTTGTCAAATGGCTTGTGCACACATATCTTAGAGCAGGGCCGATGATCTCGTTCACAGGGCCCGCAGCATTGTTGGGCATTATGTGCATTGACCTGCTTCAGTCCGCGCGTCGCTCGCAAATGTCTGATAAACACCCTGGTCTGAATCGATATGACTGTTTCTACTGCGCTTCTCTCTGATATGGGCTGCCACCAAAACCTCACCTGACAAGCTGGATAAGGCCTGGAAGGCGGCCGCGCAACATGCTGCAAGGCTCCCGGCGGCAAGTGGACAGGATCCTACATGTCAAAATTGTCAAGAAAGGTAAGTGTCTCGATGCAATCTTTGTGATTTGGGGATCTGCATGATAGCTGGTCTGGTAAGCGTTTGCAAGCGCTTCTCTTCACAGGGTCCTCCTGAATCCCCTGGCCAAAGAAGAGCGCCGCTGCATGTGAGCGCGCCGGAGATGCGTTCTGAGGGATTGACACTCGGCATGAAATTCCGTGCGTTCCAGGCCGGGAGGTCAGTTGTGATGTGAATTTTTGTCTGTCTGGGCACTTCCCAAGCGATGCATGCCAAGCACATGAACGCATACTCAAGATTCTGAGCTGCTATCGAGAAACCTAGATCATTTCAGGGTACACAAGCAGGGCTTATCAAAGTAATCTGCATCCCTCTTGTGGCCCTGGCATGGCGGCCGCCCCCGCGGCTTCGGAGATCACAGGCAGCCGCGCGCTGCCTCCGAGCAAGCAAGCTACCACCCCGGACAGTCTCTTTGCCTTTAGAATTACATGGTGCGCTTGCGATCACCTGACGTCCTGCACTTCCTAGAGAGACTGCTAGCATCCCAAGAAGCGGAAAGCAGACTTTTCTCAATTTTCCACAATGCGGGAAAACGCAAATCGAGCCCACTCGCGTTGCGCATAAATTGCAGCCCTGTAACACGAGCTTCCGGAGCATGGCAATAAGCGTTGGTATTGTTTTGGACTTGGGAAGCCGAAGCTTACTACATACATCACCGACTGTCCTGGCACCTGAATTCCAGCAGCTCTAATCCTGCCTTTGCCGATCTCTCTCCAGAACTTCCTCGCTCTGGAAACGATTGGAGGAAGAGACCACCTGTCAGGTTCTGATGACCAGGCAGTCCACAGCATGATAATATTGTCGTGATATGAAGCGTATCAAGCTCTGCCAAGCTCGGTTGTCTTTGTGCTGCGGCAACTGCACGTCTGCAGTCTTGTCTGCCTATGCTCAGCCTCAAAAGGCTCTGATTGTAGCACTGGAGCTGAATATGGCCCATCTCTCCGACATGCTTGCCATTACCAATGGTCAGCGTCGAGTGGACGCAGCGACTGGGATTATGTACCATGAGGGGTCTGCAGTACATGCGATGAGCTTAGGATTCATGGCTCCCGTGCCCATCCAGCTCAGCATGGACGTCATGCACGCGAGGCCAGTCACGCTTTATCCGCCTGCCAAGAGCTTCAATTATGGGTACACTGTTTGAGGCCTTGCTTTCGATTGCGTTTGGCTTCTACTAATTGTCGAAGTCTTGAATCAAGGTCACGCAATAACGCAAGATTGGATTGCTAGCCACAGCAGGGTCCTCCTCCTTTGCTTGGCTCAGCCGCGACCGGCGCTGCTCCTTGTGCTTTGCCTGCGCATAGCAAACAGATCACAGTGTGTGCAAACACGTGCAAACTGTCGGTGGGCGTTGGCCAGGTGAGGCACTGTGCTTGAATGATATTTGCAGAGCTTCCTAGCACCGTTTGGCCGTGTCTAGCCAGATCCCGTCTCCATACTCCACTTCAAACACCAAGTTAAGAAAAACTCGTGGGCCAGTCAAATCCCACAGCCCTTTCAGGCTTTTAAGTTGGAATTCTGACAGGTCATAGACGGGTGCACTCTTCAAGCCTAAAAAGTCAAGAGGACAGCCCGCCTTCTGCGCCGCGTCTACTTCCCCGTCGAAGTAGGCGCCCAGCTTTGGGTTTGCCTTCATGATCTTCTCCTCCCATGGTGCTGGGCATGATTTCCATGGTATGACCCGCTGGCTTGGCCTGGTACTCGGAAGGTCACCAATTTCCGGTGCAGAATGAGTCGAGCATTGTTCAAAGTTTGACAGTGCTTGAAACATCTTGTGCCACTGCTCCTTGCCCAGCACGAAGGGGCTGAGCGGTGGAGAGTCCTGCAACGCAACAAGACGCATGTTAACGAAATGGGCTTGCAGCGTATCTGGCTTGGAACTTGCCAAGATTAGATACTGCCTGCATCACTGAAATCTGGTATCAAACACCGCCACGTACGTTTGCAGCCAAGCAAAACTGCATGCCTCTTGAACAGGAGGCGCCTCCAGGATATACTTGGAGCGCAGGCACTGGATCGGGTTTGTGGACAAATGAGTCGCCGCTTCCTTCGCAAATCGCTTGAAGTTGACAACTGAAGCTGCGTAGGCTGAACCAAGCGGAGAGTATATATCGAACTCGATATGACATGGACAGTATTCTCAACACAAAAAGGCCTTCTTTGCAGGGGTCCTTATGATCACATTTCAAATCTTTTTACAGACATGAGAGAGAGTCGGTCTCAACGAGACATGCAGCAAGCTGGGATTGTAGCTTCCTGGACCACAACGGCAACGCATGTTAGCCTCCAATGATCCCTCGAGATGTACGTGCAATCTCTGTTGTCAGGCCTGGGACTTTATCAAGTGAGCTGAATGGGCTATGCGCAGGTAGGATACTTGTTCTGAGCTAGACGGAAACCATGCTGGTGTCCTCCTCCGCGACTTTGGAGAACGGAACCTCGTTTGCCGCCTCCAAGTTTTGGATTGGGATTTGGCGTTCCTTGCAATCTTCTCCAAAGTCACCTTATACATCGGAATGCGTCAGCAATGTCAATAGAATTCCTTGTTGCGGCTTGTAGTTTTCCTGTGCACTGAAACCTCATATTCCACCCTGAGGGACGCAACAAAAAACCTAGCAACGTTCTTCACGCCGGTCACAACCCCTCGAGTGGACAGAGCCAAAGCGAACTTTCCCACCTTCCCAGAAGGACTATGGGCTTGTTCCTGCCTTGTTTGGATCTGAGCGCATCCTCAGATCTGAAGCAAAGGAAAATCACATTGCTTTTTTGCATCTTGCACAAGGCCTTCGAACACCATACGTGCAGGATGATGCCGTTGCAAGGGCATGCTTGGTTTACTCGGCGAGCAGCGGATGGACGACAAAGCTCAACCTTGAGTTGCTCGGGTCGGAACACAGCAAGACACAGTCAGAATTTCATTGAAATCATGAACCCCAACCCTTTCTGCTGCTGTGTCGCTGTAGGGGCTATGGCTAGCATGCTTTCTGCCTACAATCTGCAGCCTTGCATGCATTACTGCGACATTACTGCATCCATGCAAAATGTCCTCAATGCAGCAACACACTTCTTAAATTGAACTTGGTATTTTGTGCACCAGGTGACAGCGCAAGGTGCACGACCACGTGGACGATGAAAGCGGCGGCCATAGCACCCCATAGCTTTGGCCCCTTGAGCACCTGGATCTTTTAGGTGCAACTAGAACATCCTTGTAGCATCTTGCAGCGTCCTTGCGTCCAGGCTACTTGCTTCGGAGTAAATCTGGGAAATGCAACAGATTGTTCGGCTTTTGGCGGCCAAGCGGCTCCCGAACCAAGGCCCCCATGCACCCCTCCACTCATCCTCAGCTCCACGCGTTTGCCAGGAGTTTGCTACCTGACATTGCCTTTAGGCTAGCCCTGACTTTTAAACTACATCACCCTGGCATGCACTGACCTGCATCCAAGTACGAAAATTATCTTGTTTTTGCAGCATGACTACGAGCAAATGGGCACGACTCTCGCATGCGTTCCACTCAGCCCATAGGTGTTAGGTCGACTAAAACATCTAATCTTGCTGAGCATCTGATTCAACTTGAAGACGGCGCTTGCAGCAAGAAGCCCTAGTGGCAAACATAGTAGCTGCTGTCCAAACCAGTGGACCTGAGCAACCACATACTGTCCAGTATGCGCATCCTGCGGGCTGCTTGCTTATCAGGCTTGAGAACGCATATTGCCCCATGGTGTGTACTAAAATAGCCGACTGCCTTGAGAGCTGAGAGCCCAAGCCACAACCCTGCACGCCTACAAAGGTGATTGTGCTGAAGCTCTATGGGCACACCCCGCAGCATCGACTAGCTGAATTTGTGCAGGCATTTGCACAGAAACTCTCTGTAAACCTACCGAGGCCTCATCGCTGGAGAAGTAGAACTTCCGAGCCCACCGAAGAGTCTTCCAATGGTCATAGAAATAGATATACCTTGGTGGCATGATAAGCTGTAGGACTCCCAAGCTACCTGTCTGTCCAAGTAAGCTCTTCTGGCTTCCCATCAACAAAGGCGTGTGAAGGCCCATGCACCAGTTCTGCATATGAAGAGCTACGTAATCCGACCAAGCAGCAGGTGGGAGAGGAGGAATGTGCCATACGTCCAGGCCATGTATGCCTTTCCGTATGGGCTAATACTGAAGTAATGTTTAAGACTTTAAGAAAAGAAGAGCAACATATGCAACATTGAGTGATCTGGAGAACGCCAGTCAACTGATCGTGGACACTAGGCCTCTGACTGCACGCGGGCATGACTGCTTAATCAATTTCACGAGCGTAGCATGCAAGCCACGGTCCATCAATCATGCAGCTTCCAAGGCCAAGCGGCTGGGGCTATGAACGGAATACATGCAACCAGGATAAGGTTGAAGACGACGTCTGCGTAGCGGCCCTGCTCCATCTCAGACCTGGGGATGGAGACGCATGGTGATCAGAAGGAACGAGCCGGAGTCTTACACGTGTTAGAAACGAGCCAAAGGCTGCAAATCTTTTCAACCTTTTTGCGAACATGGCACAGCTCTAGGGCACGTTCTGCGTTCTCTCCTCGTAGTCGCCTGAGTTTGAGGTCGGGCTGAGGGCATCGTATCATTTCGCCGCCCGCCGGGCCTACAAACATGACTGAGGACAAAAATTCTGAGCCAAATCTGCTGAAGGGACACTTCAAAGCCTACGCTCTACGCCGGTGCTAGCTGAGGAGCGCATTGCTGCGAATCAGCATCGAGCCAACATTATACGGACCTGTGGTCATTCAGGACACAGACTCCGACTCAATTGCAGCACTTGCACGGCATAAGATCAGCACAGGAGGCCAGAATGCCTGCAACTGAACCGTAAGATCAAACCGTATCAAACCTCGACAGCTGCAAGGACATTATCCTCCCCTATGATGATTCGGTTCGTGCTATGATCCAGCCCACCTTAACAGGCCCCCTCTGACTCTAATCTAGGCCCAGAACCTCAACTCAGCTTAAGGTGGACCATCTTGTGCAATCAAACGTCGCAAACAACTAGAATCACCCCCCCCCCCCGACTTTAAAATCAGACTTCTTCAGCTTGATCTCTCAGGCAGTCCGCCTAGCTGTGCCAGGAATGGCTCCACCGCAAAGGGGACCAAGAAAGTACAGGGGAAGCCTCATCAGTCTGAGTTGTGGGATGAAGCAGTCAGGTACATGGCACCTTCATTCACGTTCTGGCCCCAACCGATGATTACAGAAAGTGCTTTTAGCATATTGCAACCTATCCTCAAGCATCAAACCCTTGTCCTCTCGAAGCAACAGCTGCAGCTTGCAGGAACATAAGACTTTGGCATCAAGGCGCAGTATTTGTACAGGAGCTTCCCAACTGATTTCTGCATGGGGAAGGACTCAAAGATCTCCTTCAACCCAGGGTGGTGCTCAGAAGAACACTGATGAGAAGCGGCTGGTTGGGAAGCAAGGCCTAGGCATGACATGATTTGCGCTCGCCCTGATTGCCAATCCAGAAAGCTTCACAGCATGACAAGATGACACCTGGAAGGCAGTGAGGGCTGCTTGGCTTGCAAGTGCTAGCCACCCTGGGTTTAGGGATACATTGGGGTTATATAGGGGTGATATACGGGTAATATAGGGGTAATACAGGGATATCTTCTCATTTTTGTCTTTTTCCATTCCATAACCCCCCTATGCGTCTAATGGGTTTGTAATGTTTGTACCACTCGCATCTCCTGGAAGCTCTGCAAGCTACCTAGCAGGCGACCATCTGCAACACGCGCGCCCACGCCGACCATCTGAAGGTAGCTGAGATAACCTAGGAAGGCGTATCATGAAACACTCATCTTATCCTATAATAATGAATATACGGGCTTTTTGGATATAGTCTGCTCATAACTTGAGTGCTTTCCTACGTAGGAGGAAATGCGACTTGCTGACGCATAGGTTGGAACTTGGAAATCAATCACTCCACACTTTCTGTTTGGGCTCCAACCTTCAAGTGCCTCAGGTGCTGATCGTCATAAGTCTTGACTTGCATGCTGGGCACCCTGGAGCGTGATGTCCATGAGAAGATTGAGGATCAGCGCAGCGTTATAGAAAATGATGTAGGTCTTGTGCTTCTGATCCTGGCTGCTGCAGCAGTTTCGCGTTGCGCGCCGCAGGTTACGGGACAAGACGGAAACAAGTCACCACGGTGACCCTTTCAACCCGTCCCTGCCTCATAGTGGTACTGGCCTTGGCTGGCTGCAAGACTGTACGCTGTTCTCGATTTTGGAGTGACAAACAGGATGGCTGAACACTGCCCAAGAATGTGTGCGGGCTTGATGAGCCTTTTTTTGCAGCTACCGCAAGCTGTCAGTCTGCGAGACATCATGCTCGCGTAATTAACGCACCTACTACGTCTGAGCGGTGCTACAACCTTGAGCGTGAGCTTTTTTTGCCTTACACACCGCAATTGCTACGCTGCGATGTTCTGAAGTGGGCCTGTCGCGTTGCATAAGCTTAATTCAATCCTCCAGCACTTGCAAGCCTGGATTGAACATTCATGATGTCATACGAAGGCAGCGAACGGAGCTGTTGCGAGGCTGTACTGTAAACACAAGGCCAGTGTGAATAGCAGAGCCATTCAACGGTTCTTACACCAAAAATCCAAAAAATATTATCAGCTGAAAGCTCAGGCATAAATCCTTGGCAGTCCCGCGCAACTTACTTGTTGGCACAGGTTGCCAGAAACTACACGTAGGCGGCGCAGGCAGGATAAGTATGGCTGCTCAGCGAGGTACTGAAATGCACTGACACCCTTATCAGTAACATAAGTTACATTGCTCCAAGAAAAGCCGTTTGGCGACTGAAGGTGGCAAACCTGCTACAAGTTATTTCAAGCTACGCTACCATGCTCCTCGTAAAGGAAAGTGTGAAGGAAACAGTATCGATTAGACTTAGCCAGCCTGCATGCCGCACCCGCCGTTTTCTGCAGAGTTTTCGATCCAGCCCTGTACCCCATCACCATACGGGTAAGGCTTATCTTGAGGCATCAGTGACTTGGGTTGCCAAGTAGCATCCAGAGCTAGCGAACTTCCTGCATCAAATAATTAAAGAAACTCGAAGGCTGTTGCGGTCAACCACTGAACCAATGGACGATGGAACTCCTAGCAAGTAATTAAGAGCCTGGGCCTTACATGGGACCGCACTGCCGAGGAAGAATAAAATGGGGATTGCTTCGAAGGGGAGCCAGCAATGACATCACATATTGACCCTTTTCAGAAAATCTCACCTATGCGCACTTGCCATCAAGCGACAAAACTTCCATTCAATCATCTTGAAATCGTGAGGACAAATCTCTCGCTAGCTCCAATCAATGCAACCACCACTCACTGTCATGCAGGGCCGCAGCCGTAGGGGCACTTAGCCTTCTGCGTTCGTTTCATGAGAGCCCAGTTCTTCTTGAAATTGCGACGGATGCCTCGCAGGGCGAAACAACGCCTTCCCAAGCAGCTGCTCTAGTCCAGCTGAAGACCCACATCAGCTCAAACCCGTCACATGAGAAGAATCAGTCTAAACATGGCTCGTCTTGGCTTGTTTTCTTGCGTCAAAGCATGCTCCGTATGACATACGCATTGCCACGCACATCGAGGTGCTCCGGGTTTTAGCGTGATTAGCCGCCAAGGTGCAAGCAAAGTGGAAAAGGTGCCCGCAGGGCAGCTCTGCAACCTTGGCAGGGTGCGAGTAAAAGCAATGCAGAATTCTGGCCCGCAGTAAAAGTTGAGTAGGCAAGCCTGTCCAAAGTAAAGTGGCAGGAAGCAACAATGCATTTAGTAGTAGTTTGAGTCACTGGTGCCATCCAGTGCAAAGCCCGAGCAGCTTGTGCACGTCTAAAGCAAATAGAGACATTCCGAGCAACCTGGCTGTCCAATTCGAAAGGCTCCAGGCAGATCACACAAACGTCCTTCAAGGAGCGCAGGAGGCTTGGGCAGATTGATGCTTAGGGTCAGGTTCCGGGATGCTTGTCAAACGAGATACTGACGTGTTGCGACTGAGGTTCAGAGTGCCCTTACCCCAAGTTCACAATGAGACTGACTTCAGAAAAACGGAATCCAAACAGTCTGGCATCAATTCCAGAGTCCAATGGATGCCTCCTAACGCTCCGAACGTTCACCCCTTCTCTGCTCAAGCAATGGCAGGCCCACCAAGACTCTCTGGAAACTTGAGACCCTGCTGCCTGCTCCAGAAGCTGCCTTTCAGTGTCCGCGGATGCCTCTGCAACCTTTCCATAGAAACCAAAGTGTGCATCTGTGCATCAGGCTCAGAGCTTGCAAAGACGGGACTAGGGGAACTGTCGGCGTTGAGGAGCTGGTAACTTCTCTTTGCAGTGTCGAAGAACAACAAACTAGGAACCTTAAATCATCTCACTCATGTGTGCTGGTCACACTTCACACTTGGACTCACCCTGAGCTTGCCTCACTGAAGCGGCCGGTGGGGCACCGTCGAAGGAAGGCATCGTACTCACGTGAGCCACGTCGCGGTCGGTGCTTCCCTGGCGATGCACTTACCTCCTCCCTGCCAATGCCTAGACATCATTGGTATCCGGGCACCGAAGTTGCTTTGAATTCTGTTGGCTAAGCATTGGTTGGCGAACAGGCCTTACTATCATTCAAGAGCTGCTGGGCAGCAAAGCTCATTGGTCCATACTGTCCTTTTGCAGCCAAATATGCCTCAACCCAACCCTGAACAGTATCACAAATGACCAGTGAGAAAACGCACCAAGACCTATAGTGCTTGGAGAATGGTTTGGTCACGTTCGGCTTTGCAGCCCGAGCTGCGAAACATGACCTTGCTGTAGTGGTAGCTTGCCTGGATCGAACTTGGAAAGCCATGAAGACTTGGAGGTTTCCTGTTGCTACTTGATGTCAAGGAGATCAGAGGTTCAAAACTTTACTCAACAACGCGCTAGCCGCTGCGTGGAAAGCGCCATCCACGGCGATCTTTAAATCCAGCAGGCATGGAAGAATCGAAAAGCACGTCATCTTTATCCTGAGGGGCCCAGCGGCAATGCTACAACACAGTCTTCACTATGATCAACAGAATGCCTACCAAGAAACAATCCTGTAACACAGTATGAACATTGAATGAAACAGGCAAGGTTGCCAAAGATGATGGTCTTCCTCCTTCTTGTTGTGCATGATAGCTGCGCAGTCTAAGCAGAGGATACATGTCCAGAAGACTGGAATGGATAACCTAACTGCAGGGCTCGTGGTGTTGAGGCGGGGGGGTTGCTTGCACCCGATTCCACCAAAAGGGATCCGTAAACGAAAGCCTTAGATGTTCTGTGTGTTTCTGTGTGCAGCCGCGGCGACACGAAGAATTTCCTCACGATATCCCAGAATCGGAAGGCCGTGTATGATCCAGGGGGCTCTTCCAAACTCCAGCTTGGCAAAGCGAGCTGCCCTTGTCCTCACCAAAGCTTCGCAACACACCCTGCTTTTTACTGGCTTAGGGCCGGTATAGGGCTCAGAGGCTTGTTCTAGGGAAAATCCACGGAATCAGGATGTTTCGGATTTGTGTTTGGGGTTTGTCGACTCGTACACACCATTTGGGCCAAAGCCACGGAAACTCTGAACGCTACGCCAAACAGAAAAGTGGTGCGCCAGCACTACGCCGGGAGACGGGCCATCTTAATCATGGCAGAGAGTAGCAAGGTGGACAAGACCTGCAGGGCAGAAATTGCATGGCCTCTCTCGGAAGAGCCAAGCATTAGCTGCATTAGCTTCATGTTATAAAATAAAAGTGCAGAACAATGGCGCAGTTCCTGCTTCTTCACAAGAGTTCAAGGGCAACGCAACCAAGCGGCCAGGTTAAAGAGAAGGGGTGCCACAGCACCGACGATGGCTATTCTTCGGAGAACCTCATGTTCATCATGTGGTGTGCACCCCAAGTACATTCCAGACCTGTCTCTGCAAACTGCAGCTGAAAAGGAAGCATTCCGTCAGGGTACGTCCATCGTATCATCCACTTGTTTCTGAAACAGCCTCAGCATGCGCAGGCTGGCAGTGGCTGGCATCATAAGCTGCTCTCTGAAGCACTTCACACACCACTTGCTGTGAATCTTCGAAAGCAAAAAAGGCTCTTCGTGCGTGTCCGAGCAACAGCCAGCCCGCCAAGACTGTTGCTTGCAGGACGAAGCTCGCCCCGAGCGTTAGAACGCTCAGCACCAGCCAGCTTTCTCTGTTCAGCCACATGCATGACAGCATCTTCACCTACTTGCTTGGCTCTAATCTGTGTTGGAAACATCTGAGGCCCAAGAATGTCTAAAGGCCGAGGTCTTGTTGGGCTCCTCTTGGATGGCTTACACAGCACAATGGTGTGTTATGCCAGTTATGCTCTCTTTTGAGCATGCGGTTGTGCATCTTCTTCTTCTTCTTATTTCTGTACACCCTCGGCGCCAAAGGCTGCAGCAAATGACGTCAAACATCTAGCCATGAAGGCAGTCTGGTGCAATCGCCAAGTGCGGAAGGGCCATTGTCCTGCAATCCGTAACGCTCCTTCTACGGAAATTAAATATTTCGGGAAAGTCTGGGTGCCATGCATCTATCGGCGCCCATGCTGCTTGCCACAAACAAACCAACCTGCCAGGCACCATCCACAGAATCCTGTGCCCTGAACCTGCTAAAAGGCTTGAATCGTCGCTTATTACACGGCTGTGCCTGTGCGCCGACAACCAGGCCCACAAACACACCTGGGTGCCACACTTGTCGTTGCTGAGCTGAAAAACTCATGCAGACTCCGTTCACTGCAAGCTGCTGTTGTTGTGGCCCAGTCACTCTCTGCGATGGGGCTAGGCTCGTCCCCATTTGCATACGAGAATGCAGACCTGGCAACTTGAAGCAGCTACAGTGATCAGCGATTCAGGGGACACGGGAGGAGGCATTGTTTCCATCTTGACATCAGGCGGAGAGGAGGTAGCTCGAACGTCTGGATCCTCACTTGGCAGGGGGGTTGTAACTGTGGCAAATCTCGCATGCAATAACGTTAAGACGCAGCTACAGCCTCCCATATCTTTTCCCCGAACATCCGTGAACACAGAGGCAGCGAACATCCGTGGACACGGAGGCAGCAGCAAAACATGCCGGAAGTGCATGTAGTGGGCATAGGGCAAATAGAGCAGGATGGTCCAAGCCATGCAAACCAGAAAGATCTGCACCTTGCAGTGATTGCTCATGGCGCGCAAGCTAATAAGTGTAGCCTGCTCAGCTCTGCATGCAGGCGCAGTGCCATGTTCGAATCTGCAGCTGGTGGGTACTTACAAACCTGCCTAAGTGCCTAAACATCGGCCACCCCAATCCAGATTATGAGGCAGGCTGCGCTTGCTCCAGCGAAACAACCTGCACGCTGGGTCTCCGTGACATGAATGTTGTGCCAGAAGAGAGCCTGACGGAAGTTGGCGGTATCTGGGGTATGACATCTATGATGTCAAGATATGTCTAGCGTGGGGGGGTCTTTGAAGTTTGCGATGCATCCGGCTTTACGCCCGTGGTAGCGTATTGGTAAATTCGCTCATCGGAGTTCTGATCTGCGAGGCTACCGGTATCCAGCCCAAGACAGCAAGATGGGAAGCTTCTTCACAACGATCGATCCCATTCATATTTCGAAGGGAGACCCCAGAATCTGGTTTCTTCATTTATCCCAAGCCTACCCCGAAACCCGAAGCAAGTAGCCTGCCCTGAGCATTTAGCAACAAGCGCCTCAGGCTCGTAGGTCTCCGCTCTCAATGTGCACATCGCTTCCTGCTGCATCTGCCCAGAATGAGAACACTGGAAACGTGTATTGGGGTAATATTGGGATAACGGAAAAGAAAATGGAAACTACTATAGTATATTGATTGACCAGGGAACCAGCCAGCTTCAGAGCTTTGATGGGCCACCCGTACATCGGAAAAGACATGCTCAGGCAAGACAAGTTCAGGACATATACCGTGTGATCCCTGGTCCTTGACCCGGATCTTGGAGTCCTTAACGGCCTCGATGGCTTTGTCCCTGGCAGAGAGCATCAAATGCGTGGATAGAACTCCTTCTGCGCCCATATGCACTTCTTCTAGTACTCACATCTCTAGATTGGAAGCTGGACGAAATGAAGCATCGCGACATGCAATCCTGAACCATACACATCAATTTTTACAAATTGGACAAATCGATGACGCCAGTTTTGAGTCTAGCGCTCAAGTCCCAAGTTTAAAGCTACCTGATACCTCGCAACCAACGACCTGAATCTCTCGCTGCCGGCCTGGATTCCTCTTTCATGAAGACGACGTAGGACGTAGGGGCTGTCTTTAGACTCTTCAAGTTCTTCCTTGTTTTCCCGGCTCAGTTCAAAGACCAACGGATCGTCTGGATAAAGCACTGCACCAGGATAATGACATCTTGTTCACTAAGTCCGGTCAGTCCCAGAAGCTTGAGGTCCTCTACAGCGAACTCCTCGGCGTGAGCATCTAAGTGGATGTGCCTGAGTCGTACGGCTGGGGTGATCCGTATTGCTTCGACTGGGAACACAGAGTAAACAGCTTGCGACTGCAAGATACAAGCACTCTTCGCACGTTATTGCACAAATTGCCTTTGAACCAGGCGGCCAGTGTTCCAAAACTTTCTTGGTGATCGTGCCGCAGACTCCATTGAACTGCAGGGCATGGAGGGGTGAGCACAGGCATGTGTAGTATATGACGGGACTCAAACTGAAACCAAGGTCAAAGATCCAGTCTTAGGACTTCTTGTAAGACAACCTAATTCAGAGGAAGGGCTTCATCGCCACTGCCGGCAGGAATCTCTGCCGGCTCTTGCTTCTCCACGTGGAAGGCTGAAACCTTACCAATCTCCAGGATTGTAGCGTTCAGGCGTTTGAGACAGTAGTGCTGGTGAGAATTCTCTGACCCGTTTGCTGAATGCACAGAACAACAGCCGCTCCGCTTCAAGATCTGACGGAGGACTCATGAATAATTGATTGGACATGCATGCTGGGCTAAAATGGCATTCCCACGCCTCCTCGTCAATGAAGTGCCGGACCTACGAAGCCACATTTTGTTGCATACGGTCCATTCCAACCACATTTCAATTTGCAAGCTGCAAGCCTGGGCGATGTGATCCGAAAAATTCCAGCCCACCGACACAGCAATCACGTCTTTGGCCACTTCTTCACCTGCTGCGTGAAAAACAATCTGCGCCCGGTGTCTTTGCAGTATCATCATGTGTTGCTGGTAGAGACCAAATGTGCAATGCCCACCCGTGTTGGCAACGTAACAAGCGTCTGACATCGTCTAACCATAAGTTATCGTCAAACCGAATTTGTAGAGTTCCTGCTTTGAGTCACATCGGTTGATTCGACATCCCAAGCATCAACAAGTCATCTTAAAGCCATCTTCCACGTGTTTCATCCTACTTTCTGAGGTCGGCACCCACCGCACGCTGCACTGCCTGAGGCAAGAGACATCTCCATGAAAAGCACTAGCCCGATACCAGCCTCTCTCTTCCTTTGAGGGAAGATTTCGACCCAACAAGAGGCGATCGTGATGCCAAGCGCAAAGTCCCTTACGCAACAGGCTCAGGTGTGCCTCTTTCAACACATCCTCCGCCCGCTCCTCGCCGGTGATCTCCGGGACACCCTTTCAAGGGCACTTGGATCAACAGTAATATTGTCATGGCAAGCGCGCGACGGTCGTCTTCATGGAAAGACTGCTAGCAAAGTAATTAAAGCCACATGGCAGACGTGTAACATGGTGGCCCGTGGTGGCCCAAGCTGTCTTTGACAAACGTCACTGAAACAGTGAGCCCCCCATGATTAATCTGAATGATGATGACGACAGACGACAATGATGATGATGATGATGATGACGACGTCATGATCTGTGGTCAATCGGGCTCACAGCTATGCTTGGGCGGAAGCCTCTAAGACTGCAACGTAGTCCGAGAGGGTAGCACCTTGCGACAGTCTCCAAATTAAAAAGCGGCTGCAGGCTCCAACACTCTCAACATACGTGGCAACGTTGGGGCGACGTTGGGTGCGGCACGTTCACTGTCGTAACCCACAAAATACTTCGCCATCATGATGCCGTAGACCACAGCGCCTTAGGTTGATGCTTTGCAGCCAGTCTGCGCTACATCTTAAGACTATTCCAAATTATCAAGCCCCAGCACCCGCAATTTGTTTTCTGCTCGAGTGGCCAATTGTGCCAAGCAAGTAGGCGCAAACGATCCACGTACACTTCGTCCAAATGAGCTCCATCCTTGCAAACTTGCAAGTTCACTACCTACGGTCGTGTCTAGCTTGCGAATGCCGCCTGTGTTGACCCGCATAATGATCGGAAGCAAATTCTGCAGCAATCAGGCAAGATCCACAACACATGTTCAGCCAAGAGGCTGTCTTCGACGTCCCCAGGCCACGACCTGCTGTCATGGAGTTGCTGAGACAAGGCTTGAGGTGCTGGGTTTGGGCTGGCGGCTTCAGAGTTACCTTCCGCTCTTGTGTGCAGAGCTGGGTTCTCCATGGATGTTCAGAAATCATGCTTGCGCAGCATACCGCCTTGTGTCATGACATGTGTCCACGTTGCAGCAGCTGCTTGGGCTGAAGTCAACTGACTGCACTACCCGCAGGATCATGCCGAAAACTTGCCCATGGCCTCACAAAGCTGACGCGGGGTGGCTGCATTGCGGTTGCCGAGGATTAGTAAATCCTTGCTGACCTTGGGGCTACGAGCTGGTGACTGCCTCCGGCTTGTAAGAAGGCAGTCTGTATGCGTGTGCGTGTGGTCAGGACTGCTCCACAGCAGCGTTCATGTTGGTTCAGTGCAGGTGCAAGCCTGAGGGCCACACAAAGAGCACGAAGCCAAACCATATGCACATCCTCACTGAATCCAGTTGAAGCTGCATGCTGGGGACTCTAGTCCCTCATCCCTAATCTTAGCCAAGATGCACCAGGATGCCCCAGAGGATCACAGCGCCCTTGCAAGTGCAAAATGCTAAAAACGAATCTATCTAGCGGCAATCTAGCGTTTCAGTTTGGCAACGCCTGGAAGCGGAAGAGGGCGGTTGCCCCGGGCCCGGCCACGTTAACGGACATGAGGTTGGTGCCGAACCTCAGTGCCGGACGGCGTGCTGGGCCTTTACGCCAACGGCGCCGACCAACAACTCAACCACGGAGGTTTGAATTGCCTGTGCTAGGACTGATCCTGCTGGCTAAGCATGATCTTTGTAGTTCAGGGCTGCAG